GAATAGAATAGAATAGAATAGAATAGAATAGAATAGAATAGAATAGAACAGTTGGAAGGGACCTTGGAGGTCTTCTAGTCCACCCCACTGCTCAGGCAGAAACCCCTATACGATTTCAAACACATCCAAATCAAAACCAGCAATTCACCCTGATATTTTGGGGGAAGCAGCTGATTAAGGAACTGTTCATCATTACCCTGCCGGATATAAATCCTGGATATAAATCCAGAGACCTTCCAGAAACACTTTCCATCCTGGATGTGCTGCAGTGGTGGGATTCAAATTTTTTTTTACTACTGGTTCTGTGGGAGTGGCTTGGTGGGTGTGGCTTGGTGGGTGTGGCTTGGTGGGTGTGGCTTGGTGGGTGTGGCTTGGTGGGCATGGCAGGGGAAGGATACTGCAAAATCCCCCTTCCCTCCCCACCCCACTAACCAGCTTTCCAGCTCTGTTCTCCTGTGCAGGGCAACCGAAGAAGAACCAGCCGATCAGCTGGGACTCAATGGGAGGCAGAGAAGAGATGGGGTTGGCGGGGCCAGTCAGAGGTGGGATTGGCCGGTTCTCCAAACAACTCAAAATTTCCGCTACCGGTTCTCCAGAACCGGTCCGAACCGACTGAATATACCACCTCTGATGTGCTGGTTAACAGGCCTTCTGTTTTCCTTCTGTCCTTCTAGCTGCAAAACTATGGATTTCTCCTCCAGACGTCCTGGAAGGGAACTCCGTCAACCTGACCTGTGCCGTTGACTCGGATGCCGTCAGGGAGATGCACTATGTCTGGTTTAAGAACGGCGAGTGGTATGCAGAAGGCCTGGTCCAGACTCTGACGTTCCACCAGGCAACCATAGAAGACACCGGCACCTACTACTGCACCGCCCAGACGCGGGAGAGGATGCGCAATTCCTCCTTAAGCACCTTGAATGTCCTCTGTAGGTCCTGGAGGGGTGAGGTGGGGTTGGAGGGCTGGATCGGGTGGTGTTATGCAACCTGCTTCCCCCTAAGTGAGGCTGCACCTCCAGAGTGTGTCATGGCCTTAAGGATGAGGGAGCTGCTGGGGAAATGGTGTCCTTTTTGGAATATCTGCTTCGGGTCCTGAGTGAGCTTGGACCTTTTCTTGCAGATGTTTCATTAACAGATTTCGTAACGTTACTGGTGCTAGAAGGGAATGGGGTTTGCAGAGAGGAGGAGGAGGAGGAAGAGGAGGAGGAAGAGGAGGAGGAAGAAGAGGAGGAAGAGGAGGAGGAAGAGGAGGAGGAAGAAAAGGACTGTGGGGTGCTTGGTGCTCTCTGGGGTTGGTTGCTTCCTTGAAGACATCTCATTACCCAACTATGTAATATCCTCAGTGCTGGAAGGGAGTGGGTTGTGTGGAAAGGAGGAGGAGGAGGAGGAGGAAAAAGACTGTGGGGTTCTTGGTGCTCTCTGGGGTTGGTTGCTTCCTTGAAGACATCTCACTACCCAACTAGGTAACATCCTCAGCACTAGAAGGGTTGTGTGGAAAGAAACAGGAAGAACAGGAGAAGGAGCAGGAAGAGGAAGAGGAAGAGGAGGAGGAGGAGGAGGAGTATGAGCCATTGAAGCCCTCCGACCTTGCTTATTTTATTGCAGATGTTTCATTACCCAACTAGGTAATATCAACAGTGCTGGGGCAAACTAGCACTGTTGATATTACCTAGTTACCAGAATAAAAGAGTTACAAAGGACCTTGGAGGTCTTCTAGTCCAACCCCCTCCTCAAGCAGGAGACTTTATACCATTTCAGACAAATCGTGGCCCAGTCTTTTCTTAAAAACCTCCACTGATGGAGCACCCACCACTTCTGGCGGCAGGCTGTTCCACCGGTTAATTGTTCTCACTGTCAGGAAATTCCTCCTTAGTTCCAGGTTGCTTCTCTCCTTGATCAGTTTCCATCCATTGTTTCTTCTCTGGCCTTCAGGTGCTTTAGAGAATAGCTTGACCCCCTTCGCTTCTTTATGGCAGCCCCCCCAAATACCGGAATGCTGCTCTCATCTCCCCTCTGGCCTTTCTTTTCTATAGACTAGCCAAACTCAAATCCTGCAACAACCGCTCTTCCTATCTTTTAGTCTCCAGCCTTTGATCATCCTACTTTGCTCTTCTCTGCCCTTTTCTCAAAGTCTCAACTGCTCTTCAGGAGGGTCTCAGGTTCTTATCCAGGCAACGGGGTGGAACCAGGGGTGGCATTCAGCCGGTTTAGACCAGTTCGAGCGAACCGGATGGTCAATTTGCATCTGGTTCGCCAAACCGGTATTTGAACGGACCGGCTGGCCCTGTCCACCCCTTCCCTCCCCTCTCCTTTCAGGAGTCTCCACACAACTCGTTTTCAAATCAGGTAAGGGCAGACTCCACGCGGAGGCTCTGGGAGGAAGAGAAACGGGCCTTCCGGTAATACCGGAAGTCACAAAACGGGCCTGTTTCTGGCTTCCGGAGGCCCTCCAATGCCCCGGGGAGGCCATTTTCAGCCTCCCAGAGGCCCGAGGGAAGCCTCCGGACCCTGGGGAAGGCGAAAAACAGGCCTCCAGGAAGTTCCAGTAGGCCACGCCCACCATGGCCACCCAGCAACCCATCCGGCAACCAGGCAGCGAACTGGCTTGCTGGGATTTTTGAATCCCACCCCTGGGTTGAACTAGAAAGGTCTCTTCCAACCCTAGGGGTCCATGCCTCCATGACCTATCTATGGCTTAATCTCTCTCTCTCTCTCTCTGCTCTTTTTCTGGAAGATCCACCCAGGAATGTGCTGGTCAAGTCCTTCTTGGAGATCCAGAAAGGCCAGGTGGCCATCATCCTGTGCACCGCTGACAGCAACCCGCCTTCCGTGCTTTCCCTTCGCCATGATGACCAAGTCTTGGCGTCCACCATCTCCAAAGTCCGTGGGGTGCCAGGCCTGAAGCTGAGGGCTGCTTCCTCCCCAAATTCCTTGAGGCTGGAGATCCGAGACGTCAACCTGAAGGATGAAGGGCGCTACGAATGTCGGGCGAGCAACTCTCTTGGCCAAGCCCAGGCATCATTCAACCTCTCCGTGGAGAGTGAGTAAGAGGGCTCAGGGCTTAGAACAGGGGGTCCCCAACCTTTGCCACTTTAAGACTTGTGGACTTCAACTCCCAGAATTCCTCAGCGAAGCTGGGAGTTGAAGTCCACAAGTCTTAAAGTGGCAAAGGTTGGAGATGCCTGCTGTGTGGGACATGGAGTTCCTTCTGGTCCATCATGTGTTTGATAGGTTGGTGAAGGGTCCAAAGAGTAAAAGAAGACAATTTAGGGGCGATGACTGAGGTTGCTCACTCAATCCATTTGTTTCATGGAGGGTAAGTAAGCACACTACAAGCCATCACTCTGCAGAATCCCTTTTCCTAGAGAGGGAGTAATACAACAGGGACAGGAAATGCATCATGGGGACAGTAGAGATGAATCCTAGAGTGGCAATGTGATCCAGTAAACAACTACAATAGAGAGGAATGCATATAAGGTATATATGCATACCTTACGTGCATTCCTCTCTATTGTAGTTGTTTACTGTACCTTATGCATATAAGGTAGACATAACACCTGTAGCACCATTGGCTCAAGTTGTAAGTTATTCTGTCAGACAGACAGATTAACAGAGTTGGAAGGGACCTTGTAGGTCATCTAGTCCAACCCCCCCTCAAGCACAAGACCCTACACCATTCCTGACAGATGGCAGTCCAATCTTTTCTTGAAAGCTTCCAGTGATGGCGCTCCCACAACTTCTGAAGGCAACTTCTGTTCCATGGATTCATTGTTCTCCCTGTCAGAAAGTTTCTCCTTATATCCACTTGAATGTCTCCTTGATAGTTTCCATCCATTGTTCCTTGTCTGGCTTTCGGGTGCCTTGGAGAATAGCTTGACCCCATCCTCTCTGTGGCAGCCCCACCAATATTGGAAGACTGCTATTCTGTCTCCCCTGGTCCTTCTCTGGACTAGACTAGCTAGGCCCAGTTCCTGCAACTGTTCATCGTATGGTTTAGCCTCCAGTCCCCTAATCCTCTTAGTGTCAAAGCTCCAGCAGTTACCCCCCATTTAAATCATGAGTCTCAAGCCAAACTTCCAAAACTTCAAAAGGATTTATTGGGAGTTAACATGCCAACACTGCCTGGGTGTAGCCGACTCTGAGACACATCCTCCATTGTCACCCTCGACCCAGGTTTTCCCTCCACCCCCTGGGTGTATCGTAATCCATATTCTCCAATGGGACACATCCCTAGCCGAGAGTCATCAATCATGCTCTCCAGTTCGAATTTTGCAGCGGCAGAACCTTCAAGTCACCTAGTTGCTATCTTTGAAAACATTTATGGAATGCAGTTTCGGTTTTGCAAGCTGGGAGGGGGTCCCATCCTGTTGGCAACTCTAAAAGGACCAGAGAAATATGAGTTGACACTTGGTTGCTCTTCTCTTAGCGTGAGGGAACGGAGGTTGGAGGGCACCTGCCAACCGTCCATTTGGCTCTTCTTCTCCCTGGATAGCTATAAGGCTGGTGATCGAGCCCGACCCAGATGTGCACGAAGGACAGCGTGTCTCTCTGACCTGTGAAGATGCCAACTTCCAACCGTCGGCCCTCTACACCTGGTACAAAGATGCCAGGTGGTTGGCAGAAGGTTCGGCCACTTCCTTCCTGCTCCGAGCTGTTACCCCCCAGGACATGGGATCCTACTCTTGTCAGGCTCAAGACGAAAGGGGCATCAGGATGTCTCCACCCGTCGCTCTCTATGTGCACTGTGAGTACCTTCTGGCTTTGGGGTGTTGGAAGAAAACATCCTTCTGGGTTCAGTTCCAAGTGGGGAAGAAAGACACTGGAAACATGGTGACTGCTTGGAAAGATGGTTTAATGGTGGACAGGACCACAGGCCTTGGTGGCTTGGGTGAAGAAAAAGGGAAGAGATGCTGAGAGTCCCTGGGTTTTATGCCCTCTCTGGGATTTGAACTTCCTGGGGCACAGGAAGAGTATCCTGATTGGTTGTTGTCAGAGGTCATAGCTAGCTCTGTAGGTTGTCTGTGCTGGTTAGACAGTATATAGTTTGGGAGTGAGAGCTGTCCCCTTAAGGGAATGCTTCATGGGAAATGTAGTTAATGCCTCTTGGGAGATGTAGTTCATGTCACATGGTCACATCTGTAATCTTGATTGGTCATTGGATTGATCTCTGGAAGGCTGAGGGAGTTTGGGGGCATTCTCACCTGGACCCCAGCATCGTGCTGGAGTCTTCCTTTGGTATATCGCTATGGGATGAAGATAACCGTCTTTTCACACTATGGAGGCAACTATTAATGCAAAGATTGGACATTAGATGAATCTCAGCATAACCGTTATGCCTTTAGGATGCCTGATATAATACAATAAAGTAACTTTGCATGGAAGCCTTTGTAGAGTTGAACTGCCTGACTCTATATTCAGCCAGAAAATTAGAGGCTTGAAATTGTCCATGTACTAAGTTTGGTTGAAACTTGATGGGTGGTACCATGAAGGGCAATCAAATGGCTCTGCCTGAAGGAGGTAGGTCTTTGTTATGTAGAATAGACTGGCCCAGACCTTAATGGCCCATTAACAAAGGTGGGGGGCGGGGCTGAGTTTCTGCCTCTCTGAGTTTCTACTTCTCTTTTTGGGGAAATATTCTGCCTTTTTTTAGTATATCCTAAAATATTTCATTTTTCTAGGAGAGGGGTGGGTTTTAACTTCCAACAGGGATGGAGGACAGAACTTCCTGTCTGTCTGTCTGTCTGTCTGTCCGGACCCCACATACTGCCAAACCCACAGTAGTCTTGTTAGAGTTTGCAGCATAAATTCAAATCCAGAAAACACACAGATGACTGATTCAGCAGGATCATTAACTTCTTTATATACATGATAACTAAATGTACAATACCATGTGTAGATTCTTTCAACGTAACATAAGCAAAAACGCAAGGAGCAGCAGCAGCTCAGAGCAGGACTCGGTTTCAGCAAGCAAGCAAGTTAGTTTCACTTTCAATTCTCAACAAAGTACACAGAGCCAAACCGCACCCAGGCTGTCAGCTCCCATTGGCTGGCCTGTTGCCATGCTTACTTTGTTCGCCATGTCCCTGCCAGTTAATGAATATACTCTGACAAGTCTGTCCTCCGTCTTGTTTCCAATGAACTGCTGCCTTTGCTCCTGGGAGAGATGAGAACTACTGACTGGAGAAAGTGGCAAGGGGGCTTCAGCAGGTCTGGAAGTCACCTGGTTGGAAAGGGGAACAGAGCCTTTTGCTTAAGTCAGGGGACCCTAGAGGGGCTGTTTTACACTAATGCCCTATAATGGTTGATCTGGGCTTCTGAGGTCATGGATGTATATATCCTGAGGAGGTAGAAAGTGGGGAGAGAAGGAGAAAAAGACAAGGAGGAGGAGAAAGGAGAAGATAGACAAGGAGGAGGAAGGAGAAAGAGACAAGGAGGTGGAGGAGAAAGTAGAAGATAGAAGGAGGACAAAGAGAAAGAAGAGAAAGAAAGAGAAAGAGACACAAGATAAACGATGAGAAGGAAGGAGAAAGGAGGAGGAGAAAGAGACAAGAGACAGGAGAAGATAGACAAGGAGAAGGAAGGAGAAAGGAGGAAAAGAAAGAGAGAAGGAGGTGGAGGAGAAAGGAGAGAATAGGAGAAAGAAAGAGAAAGAAGAAAAAGAGAAAGAGGCAGGAGAAGGCAGGGCAAAGGAGGAGGAGAAAGAGAAGGAGGTGGAGGAGAAAGGAGAAGATAGAAGGAGGAGGAGAAAGAAAGAGAAAGAAGAGAAAGAGACAAGGAGGAAGAGAAAGGAGAAGATA